AGGAAGGAAGAAAGAAGACCTTGAGATTTTTAGTAAAAAGGATTTTGTGTGAATTGGGGCCTTTGATATGAAATTCTTTAAGTTACAGTTATTTCTAGACTTACTTTGCAATCAAAGAGACTGTCTAGTCCACAGATGGTCTGTGTTTCCTGTTAATACGGACAATCTTACAAGGCTAATAAAATTCTCAGTCCACTAATCCAAATACCAAGTACTGTTGTCTTCTCTTTCCCAATGGAATAACAAAATGAAACCACCCAAGTCTTGCGGGGGAGGGGGCACACATAGACATACATACAATCGAAGGGGAGAGAGCAATTGCGGGGGCACAGAAGCAATCCTTTAAACACAACCTCTTTTAATCCCTACAACATCCAGTGAGAGAGAGTCGGGGCTTTTTCACTATCCCTACTTTTTTGCAGATGAGCAGATTGTTTAGAAAAATATGACTAATTTCTCCAAACTCACAAAGCTAAGTTGCTGAGCCAGATGAATTTCTGACTCAAAATGCAAAGGTTTTTCTTCTTTTGGAATAGTGCCACGGTGGCATTATGCAGTCATTCTCAGAGTAATAGCCGCTGGCAACTCTCTCAATTAGAAGAAAGGCAACAGAGAACTCCTGATTTCTCCAATAACTTTGGAAATCACCGAGGTGTCAACAACCAAGGTATTCAACACAATTTGCTTTTCCTAATACCAGCACAAATGTAAAGAGTTATACTGGTGTCTTCTGCAGTATAACTCAAAGGTTCAGTAATATCCAGATATAATAATAATAATAATAATAATAATAATAAAGACAGTTTCATTGTAATATCCTCTCAGCAGCTTACAGAAGTAACTTACAAATTTATTTGCAACTTATGGGACCCACCCTCATAGCTTTAACAGAGAAGTAGTCGCTGTCTCAGTGGGAAGGAAAATACCCTTTTCCGGACCATTCCGGATCCTTCAAACAGGTGTAGACTCTGTGCTGGCATGGAGACAGGATATTTCAGTCCATGAAAGGGCTGGACCCTACCTCCTGTCACACAACAAAGTATATCTCAGAAGTAGAGATGGGGGAAGAGGAGCTATGTATTCTCTATGTATTTGTTCCCTAAATAGAGCCATTAAAAATAAGGCAAATGTAATACTTTTTAAAAAATCACTAGGTACCTCTGATCACTTTATCTGCGTCTCGCTTGAGGAAACTGGAGTCTCTCCATGTAATGATATAAATGAGTCCATGTTTTACATTCTGTCCTTCACATTAAAACTATATTGGCATCTCTGACAGGCCCCAAAGCCCCCTTTCATCGATGCCCACATTTTTATACTTAAACATATAAAAGGCTTACTTAAGGAGAACTGTTTCAATAATCCATTGCCGTATAACAAAACACCCCAAAATTCAGTGACTTACAACAACTATCTTTTTTTTCTTTTTCTTTAATCTTTCCCACCTGTGAATTGCCTCAGCTCATCTGGGCTTTTATTCTTCTGGCCTCTCTTGAGTTCCTATCAGATGGTGGTAGGTGGGCAGGCAGCAGGTGGGAGTCAGCTGTCAGCAGGGCTGATACCTCTCTCTTCTCAGGGCATCACAGGGTGTCTCCTCTGCAGTGGCCTCTCCACCATCTCCCCACCTTGCACTGTAGCTCCGGACTCCCGGGAGTACAAGAAAGGAAATCTGCTGAGTCTTTCTAGGACCTGGGAGCTGGCACCACATCACTTCCATTGAATTCTATTGAGTTAGAATAACAAGTCTGACCCAGCTTCAGTGTGGGAGGAGTTTATACAAGGAGGTAAATACCCAAGGTCTGGTTCATGGGGCCAATCTTGGAGACTAGATACCACCACCACCACAACGGCACAGAAGGCCAGGTCATGTATTCATCTTGGCAGGGCATCATGGGTTTCCTTTGCACTCAGAGGGACATACTACTCCCCCACCCCACCATCTTCCTGGACTCACGTCTCAAAAAGGGAGAACTGAATTACTTGAGCGAGTTCTAGAGCTACCCCTTTGTGTTTTTAAATATAGGGAAAATGCCTTTTTGATATTGGAGTATCATGCTTCCCAACAAACCTTCAGATTCTGTTAGGGATTCAGATTCCTACAATTCAGGGGTCCTGAATTGCCTAAAATTCATAAAATATTGTACAAATATATGTGTGCATTCTCACAGGAGGGAATTCTCAGCTTCCCTCATATAAGGTGAATTCAAAAAAGGTATCTAAGGCTGCTTAAAACTTAGTGAGAGCTGCCCTGGATTTTTATCACCTAAGGTATTTTTAGAGCCTCTCAGAAGCAGAGATGGGAAAAAAGCAACAATTATCTTTTGTGTGTTTGCTTCCAAAGTAAAACAAAAGCAATAGCATTAGCTAGTGCCTGAGGTCACTTCATCTGAGTCTGAGTGGGCTGGGTATTTCTGCAGGCCCCACTCCCCCCCACACACACTTATTGGGAGACTAATTCCCTTCCCTTGGGGTGAAAGGCATTGGGAACACCTAATATTTTGGCTCTTATTTTCCCACCTGTCCTTAGTGAGTACTTAAGACTGTAACTTCATGGGATTTTTGATTCTCCCACCTACGCACTCTGCTTTTCTTTTCCCCTATCTGTTTTTGTTTAGAGGTGGCGGCCAAGGGTACAACTGAGTCTCATTGTGCCAAGTCCTCTCTAAAATGTGCTGTGATCTGAACTGGTGTCTCAGTCTTGAACCTGAGCATGTAAGGCCTCATGAGGCATCTGGGAGAAGGTATTCAGGCTGGAAGTAGATCCTGTCTAGGGTCAGAGAAAGAAAACATGTGGGAAAGGGTAGAGCACTAGAGGCAGAAAACAAAACAAAGACTTACCTTTCCTCCTTAAAACTTTCTGTTCCAAACATTACATCAGACTGGGATACGCTAATGCTGTGTTTTTTTGTTTTGTTTGGTTTTGTTTTGTTTTAAGAGCTTCTCTTTGAAATCAGTTAGTCCAACTCTCATAAGAGAATGAGAAATGTACAGTCACCATGTGCTAAATGTCACCATTAAAATGCCTAACCCTGTTCATAGTTAACATTGGTCTCAAGAAATGGCATTTTGTGACAGAGGCACCAGCAAAGTGAAAAAGTAGGATTCCAGATTTTATTTTTTCAGATTGAAAAATTACACCGGAGACAAAAATATTTGCAGGTACTTTTCCACAAAAAACGTGAACCCTACCATTCCTCCAGAGAATCTAGCCATCCATTTCAGCTGAGCAGCCCTCTTTAACATAAATGCTTCAAAGCTATCCACTTACTCCTTCCCTTTAGCTATAGAAATTTATTAGTATGGAAAGTTAGTTTCTCTCCACCAGAAGGTTAAGTTCTCCCATTGCCCAAGGACATACCCTGATACAAAGGAAAACGGAACAAAGGTTGTAAGAACTTAAACACCAAATTTTTACCGTTCATGTGGCAGATGAGGGCTCTTTATTGCCTTCCCTCGCTTGCAAAATGGGGAGAATAGCACCCTAAGCTCACAGGATTGATCAGGCTCAGGTTCAGCACAAAATGGCATGGACAACACCCCTGGCACAGCAAGTGCCCATGACAAGTCATCCATTTATGTCTCAATCTGTACAATGTGATGGAAAGGGACACACAATATGTTCCTCTCACCCCTGACTCAGTGTCTTCTCTGGAATGGCAGCACAGTGATGTCCCAGGGCTGTACCTGGAGTTGTAACACATGCAAGTCATCCCTGGATCCCTCCACAGTTCACTGCAGGTGCCAAGAAATGTAATTGGCCACAAACGCAGTGAACCTGTAATATCAAAATACCCTAATGAAATTAGAGATGGTTAAGGTTCATTAAAAGTTAAGGTCAAGCCATGGCAGGGTGGCTGTTGGTTGGAGCATCATCCCTAATGGTTGCAGGGTCAGGGCACATAAGTTGCAACAAATCCATGTTTCTCTCTCCCTTTCTCTCTCTAAAAGTCAATTAAAACAAATCCTTGAGTGAAAATTAAAAAAACATGTAAGATCAAAATGCACATTTTATTCCTGTGGCTTCTTCAAATTATTTGCAATCCAGTAACACTACTTCCCCAAGGTGTGGATATGAGGATTATTAAAAACAAGTTCATTGTTGAGAGGAAATAGAAATACTATTGATGAAATGCCGGTGGAAAAAAAAAAAACACCCAATAGCCTCTTTGAGCAATTCTCAAGAAATATAAAAAATATAGAAATATAGAAAACCAAAATTACTTGACCATACTCTTCTGGTAAAAATGATATCTTAAAATAGAAAGTATTTAACGTATTAAGATTAAGCATTATTTTTTAGAGACTTCAATCACTTGAAACAGGCTCATTTGGTAATGAAACAGGCTCATTTGGTAATAAGGCTCATTTGGTGCTTTTCCTAGCAAAAAAAAAAAAATTACATCAGAATGGGATATCCTAATGTTCATTTTAGGGCTTCTCTTTGAAGTCAGTTAGGCCTCCTCTTATAAGAACATAGAACTTTACAGTAACCATGTGCTAAATATCACCATTAAAATGCCTACTCCTATTCATAGTTAAACACCGGTCTCAAGAAATGGCGTTTGTGACAAAGGCACTAGAGCAAAGTGAAAAAGTAGGATTCCAGATTTTATTTCTTAAGATTGAAAGAAAAAAAAATGACACCCCAGACAACATTTCTGTGATCAATCAAATTTCAGGAAATGGAGCAAGTGGTTCTGGGACAATCAAACTGGCAAACTTGAACTTGGAAACAGGGTTTTGGCAAGGACTCTGTGGGAATAAACCTTATTAAGCACACACACAGCCTCACATTTTTTTTTTTTTTTGCTCTCCCAACAGTTCAAGTGTCAAGACAAAATAAATTATCATAAATTATATATGCCAAGGCAACTTCAAAAACAAAACAACATGAGGCTAAGGATTTCCTTAGCTCTTCTGGGAAGTGTGTAACACTGGTTTTTTTGTTTGTTTGTTTGTGCTTCTGGCCTGCAGGCTGCGTTGGAATCGGAGACAGACCGTCACACGTCAGGGTAGCTGCAGTAATATACCGCGGAGCTGGCGTCGGACACCACGGAGGAGATGGCCCCGTGGCCGTCGGGGAGGTTCACGCTCGAGTCGTGTCCCTGGTACGGGGAGAGCCCCATCTCGGGCTTGCACACGTAGTGCAGATACTGTTCGAATTCCGTGCGGTCCATCTCCCCGAGGAGCTCGCCGGGCTGGCTCGGGTCCGCCCCGTCCCGGCAGGACAGCGCCTCGGGAGGGGGAGACGGCTGCCCCGGACCCTGCGGGTGCTGTGGGTGCTGCTGCTGCTGCTGCTGCTGCTGCTGGTGCATCTGGGGGAAGCCGCGCCCGGCCCCGGGCGACCCCATGGCGCCGTAGTACATGTGCAGGGCGCTGGGGGGCGCCAGGAGGCCCGGCATGGCATGGCCCGAGGGCTCCGGGGGCCCCGCGTAGTCCGAGGCCTGCGCGTAGCCGTAGGGACCCGCCGCCCCGGGACAGTCTCCGTGCAGCGGCGCGGCGAAGAAGGCCGGGTCCGGGTCCACGCCGTCCAGGGGAGACGTGTCGGGCGTGGGCAGCGGGTAGCCGTCGAGAGGGGGCGCTGCTCCCAGGCCCTGGCAGTCGCGGTAGGGCCCGCCCAGGTGCGGGAGCAGCGGCGGCGGCGGCGCGCCCGCGGGGAAGCCCTGGTCGGGGTAGGCCAGGCCCAGGCCGTCCAGGGCCACGCGGCCGCCCTCGGGGCCCAGCGCGGCGGCCTGCGGCTCGGCCAGGCCGTGCAGGAAGCCGCCCTCCACCCGCTTCAGCCGCTTCACCTGCTTGCGCCGCCGCGGCCGGTACTTGTAGTTGGGGTGGTCCTGCATGTGCTGCACCCGCAGCCGCTCGGCCTCCTCCACGAACGGCCGCTTCTCCGCCAGCGTCAGCGCCTTCCACGACTTGCCTGCGGGGCCGCGGGGAAGGGGGAGAGGGGCGCGGGGTTCACTGACTATGCGAGTTCCCCCTCCCAAGCCCCCCTCTCTTCCCCTCTGACCCTGAATTGTGCAACTAGAGCAGTGTTTCCCAAACCTCTCTCTTGATGAGAATCACCAGGAGGAGTTGTTAAACTACAGATTCCTGAATCCCAACTAAGAAGTGCTAAACTAGAAAATTTGGGAACATATAGGTAAAATTGTATACTTAAGAAGTGCTAGAATTGTATACTTAAGAAGTGCTAAACTTACCTATCTATTCTAGTTTAGCACTTCTTAGTTGGGATTCAGGAATCTGTATTGTAACCACTCCACCAGGTGATTCTCATCGTGAGAAAAGTTTGGGAAACACTGAACTAGAGGAATAAGGGGGCCACGTTAAAAAGTGAAAGTATGGACTCGGGAGGTGGAGCGGAATCCGAACACAAGAGATCTAGGATCTTATCTAAGGTAAAGTGACCAGGCGTCCCGCTTTTGGCGGGACAGGCCCGACTTTTAACAATTTGTCCCGCGTCCCGCCGCGTTTTATTCTTTCCAAAAATCGGGACCGATTTAACACGCCGCGGGCGGGACACCGGACAAATTGTTAAAAGTTGGGGCGTCTGGTCCCCTTATTCTAAGGGCATCCCTCCTGGGAGCGGCTTCCCGGCTCATCCACTCCCGGTGGTTGAACTGAAACAGTCTACCCTGGAAAGGGTCAGCCCAGCCCCGCTGGACGCCAGGGGTGCCCTCGCCATCCCTGGGATGCGCGTGGGAAGCCGCCTCTCCCGAGCCCTGGTACCCGGGCTCCTGTTCACGGAGGGCCGAGGCTGGATGCCCGTTTGCAAAGCCCGGAGAGCGAGGAGCGGGGGACGGCCGGACAGACGGCCCTAAGGAAGGACTGGCGCGGTGCACCGCCGGCCTCGGGCGCAGGACCCGCACCCTCTTAGGTTCCAGCAAGCAGGTCCCCGGACTCACCCAGCATCTTGCTCAGCTCGGCGTTGTGCAGGTCGGGGTTCTGCTGCGCCAGGCGCTTGCGCTCGTCCTTCGCCCACACCATGAAGGCGTTCATGGGCCGCCGAATGCGGGACTCGCCCTTGGCCCGGCCCGCGGCCCCGGCCGGCGCCCCCCCGCTCGCCGCCGCCGCCTCGCCTTTCACCACCTTCACGTCCCCGAGGGGACTCAGCGACTCGGCCCAGGAGCAGGGGCCAAGGCCGGCCATCACCGCGGGCAGCGCGATCCGGGGGGTCTGGCTCTGGTCGTCACTGGCGTACCCCGCATCCGGGCTGCTCATGGCGCTCCAGCCCTGCTCCGCGCCCCACAGCTCTCGGCCAGACACGCTGCCTCCCCCGATGCGGGGGGGGGAGGAGGGCGGGAAGCGAGAGAGGGAGATGCTGGAGTGTCCTGGGCCCCAACCCGCCACCGGCGTTCCGCGTTCCGGGTCAGTCGCAGCCCACCGCGCAGCCAGCGCCCCCGCCGGCCCAATGACACTGCGGGCACCCCAGGGCTGCGGGGCCTTTTCTGCAGCGCGGCGGCCAATAGAGCCGCGGGGGCGGGCCGGCCAGAGGCCTTAGGCCCACGCCCAGCCGGCATTCCGAGTCCCCAGTCCCAGCTCAGTCCCACGTTTTCTCCTCCCCAATCCTCCGAACCGAAAACCTACACCTGCCTGCGGGGAAAACTGGCTGGCGGAGCAGGGCTCTGGCGCCACTGTCCTCTCAGACCCGGAAAAGGGGATTCTTGCAAAATCTTCAAGGGTCTACGGAGAAGTAGTTGGGTACAGTAATTTGGATCAACACACTAAGCACCCACTCTTGATTGCAGGAGCTAAAGCGTTTCAGTGTGGACCTCACTTCTACCAAGGAACCCCACAGATGTCTTTTTTCAAATGTTTTAGCCAACCCAATAGACACTGTTGATAATAAATAAAAGAGGTTATCTTCCCAAGGATTCAACTTGCTTCAAAATGCTATGTCCGAGGTAAATCTTAATATTTAAAACAAGGCTAGATATGGAATAACATTCTATACCCAATATCCCATCATCCAGAAAGATTTAAAGCCTTGGTGCATAACGAGAACCAAGCACTGAAAATGTGTACATGTATGTGTAGTAAGTAAGGTCTTCTCATGTGTATCCCGTATAATAGGCAAGACTTAGTTCTGATTTCAAAAATGTGATTTAAAAAAAGAGCAGCAATATCTATCTAAATGCCCATCTTTAGAGGGAAAGACAGCCATCCTTTTGAGTGGCAAAATAACTAGCTCTTAGAGGCTGTGTAAGGTCGTTTTTTGCTGGAGGTATTAAGGATTCCTATATGCTTCTGCAGACAGAAATGAAAAATCTGAATGACTATTAAACTTGTGTTTAAATCTGAGAAAACTTCTCAGAGGAATTTTTGAACAAGCCCTCATATTGCACTCATATATGGCACATGGCACACTGTTCTTAGAGCCACCCAAACAGCAAATCATCCTTAGAACCCCAGGGCGTGGACACTTTGTATCTTCACCGGAGGAAACAGGCACATAGAGGTTCAGGAACTTGCCTGAGGTCACACAGCATTGGGGAGTAGAGTTCCTTTCAGGGAGTCTGCCTTCACACTTGGAATCCCCAATCACTGAGTTGTATTTGTGTATTCCTGTTGTTTTCTAAGGCAATGGAGGAAGGAAACGGTTTTTGCATAATTAGATAACGTTGCAAAGAAATCAGTGCATCAAATCTCAAGAACAGATTTTTTGTTTTGTTTTGTTTACTTTGAAGGGGTGATGAAAAACCAGAGTTTCCATCCGGGACCTGGGAAGTAAACGCTGCAGCTTTTTGTGTGCTAGTACAATGACAGAGTAATCGGTCAAGTCTGCTTATTAATGGCATCAACAAAAATAAAGAAACACAGAGCTTTGGAAACTGACATTTGTCAGGTCTCAGGAAAAGTCCCACATGCTTATTTTAAGCCAGCGTTCACTGTGTGAGGATCTGTGTACTCTGCCCTCCCTCCTCCCTCCTCCTTGTCCCCCCTCTCCCTTACCTGTAGCAACCAGTCTTCATTCTGGGGGCAAACTGAGAAAGTATTTCTAGTTCCTGGATCTCCCCTATTCAGACAAGAAAAAAATAATTAATCTACTTAAGAAAATCTTAGGGAGGTGATGGGTGACTTAAACAAATTTAATGTATTACATACTTTTCCTTTAAAGCTTTATTTATTTCTGGGGGGAGTGGGGTAGGGCATGCACATGAAGCATAATTACATTGCAAATGATTATATAAGTGAGGAAATGATAGGCAAAAAGAGAACAAATGAATCCCCCAGTGCCTTTTGCTCCCTGATGTTTCCTTGGCTATCTCCTCTAACTTTTCTAGATTGTCACAAAGGTCCTTTCCAAGATGTCAATGTAGAATTTGCTATTAGTGCAAAGTATTTTTTACGAATTCATAAGTATTATCTTAGAATAAAGATTAAACACTAAACAAAAGCAATGCCCACTCCTGAATCCATTTTATCTGTCACAATCCACTTTATCTATCTCGGTCACATCTATTTGACTAATTCCGTAAAAAAATAAAATGAGAACATAATCTAGGTGTGAGTCCAAAAAATGCATATGCACCCATCTGCCCCTGTACACTTCCTTCATCCTCGGGTTCTATCTCCCCCTCTCCTTTGCAGGGAGAAGTGCCAAGAGCGTGGGCCAACTGGAGGAAAACCTGGGTCTCCCCTGGAGTACGTGCCCTTGTGCCTGAAGATTCACGGCTGGTTTTCGTTGGGTAAAATGACTGAGAACCAGGGGAGAGGACTGCATCCGCCTCGTAGGAGCTTCAGAGGTGAGCGCCCCTCCCCCTACTCCTGATAGCATTTCCCCCGAGCGTCATCCAGCAGCAATTTACTTCCAGTGACCAGGAAGACCTGAGGATGCCTTTCCAAGATGAGTGCATCTTGCATACCGTTACCTAGACCCAGTTTCTTGTAATGATCATTCATGTGTCATATTTTCGGGGGGGGGAGGGCGTTGGGGGCTGCGGGCCCCGCACACCCGTCTCAGCATGCGGACTCCCTGTTCCCCTCTCTCCATGCGGCGTTGGAAGCGGAGCTTAGGACGTTGAAGCCAGCCACAAATGCCACATGAAACGCAGCAAACATCCGGAGTGGCTTCCTGCAAGCCTTGCTTTTCTCAACACGAGAGATTTGCAGGCGAGGGGGGTGGGGAGGATAGGCAGGAGAGCGGGGAGGTGATTCTAGCAACTTTCGCGAGGAAGAGAGCCTTGTGCACCGGCTCGCGTGGTGCATTCGCTTTGCACCGTCTAGGATTTCTGGGCTCCTGGCTTACTAATCGCGCTCAAGGTCCCCAGGCCAGACCCGAGGCTCCAAAGGCTGGGCGAAGAAGCGACTAGCGCGGCGAGGAATCGTGCGCGTTACCGCTCGGGACCTTGGCCGGCAGAGCGCAGAAACCTCCCGGGTAGGTGAGGAGCTGCGGCTCGGACCCGGAGTTAAAAGTGCGCTTTCCCGGGCCCCCTGCGTGGCTGGGTGACTTCCTGCCGGCTTCTGTGTTTCAGATGCTCAGGAAGCGGGAACCAAACCCAGGGCCCTTACGTCCTTAGGGAAGGCCGGGGCACCCAAAGGTGTGCGGGTTGGCCCTGAGGAGTAAGTCCTCCTCCGTGGAGGCGGGGAGGGGAGCGCGCGCCGCAAACCTCGGGGAAAGGGGAAACGCCGGGCGCCCTCCAATAAACAATGGTGTCTTTTGGACAAAGAACAACAATAAGGCTTTTGCACATATAAACCTCGGCAGCCTCCAGGAGCCGATGGCAAAGCGGGTGCATCGGAGTGCGGGCCGGGCTCCGCGCAGCTCAGGTAGGGCCATTGCGCCTCTGGATACCTTCTGCGTGTCCTCCCGGTCCCTGGGCCGGCAAGCGAGATCGGAGAGATCGGAGGTCTGTCTTGAGAGGTGAGGAGGAAGGAGTGGTGGGGTAGATCGCGACCACCCACTCACGCGCCGCTCAGCACCCTCACCCCCACAGGGAGGCCCCGAGGGTTCGATCCCCGCGCTCCTCCGCCTGGAGCCTCCACTCTGCCCTTCTGCTGCCGGGGCTGGCTTCTCCCAGAGCAGAAAAAGGGCCTTGGCTAGAGAATCTTTGGGGATACTTGTTCCGAAAGAGGGTAGGAGGCAGGCGTGCGTCCAGGGTTCACTCCCTTTCTCAGTCTCTGACCCCTGCATTTCTCCCCAGTTCACCGGCCCCTCCAGGCCACCCCGACCCCTTCCTGGCAGCGGGCGACAACTGGACCATAACCCTGTTCCCGCTTGGCCCCGCCTGGGGTTTGCACAGGCAAAGCAGGAAATGTGCTGTTCCCGGTCCACTTCCCTGCTCAGAACTGGTCCACGGGGGTGTTTCTTAGACACCCTCCCCCCAGTCCCCGCTGCGGTCCAGGGTTGAAGTGTGGGCGCCTTCCCTTTATCTTCTGAATCTGGGAACCTCTGACTGTGTCGTGTGTGTGTGTGTGTGTGTGTGTGTGTGTGTGTGTGTGTGTGTGTGTGTGTGACTGTGTGATGGGGGAGCCTTGGGTGTACGGGAGAAGCAGCCAGCTCATTCCCTGAGACAAATCACACATACACACCGCCCAACCCAGTCCCTTCACGTCGGCCTCGTCACTTTACAGGAAATTTCATACGCCAGTTCTGCTAACCTCCACTGTCACCTTATTCACACCCTAGAAAAGGCCAGACTCCCCTGTAGAGTTCTCCCAACGGACCAGACAGCCTCTTATCAGTTGCATATCCACTCACACTCCCACCCAAAGGAGGGCAGACACGGCCCCTGCCTCGGAGGAATGTACAGTGCCCTCCCTCCCTGACTTGTCCACTCCCAGCTGGGTGTCCTAAGGCCTGCTCCACCGCAATTCCCCACCGCCTCCCAACCCCCACCCTCCACCCTCCACCACCGCATGTAGAGTGTTGCTGACATCAGTAGGTCAAGCACTTTGAGATATTTTTTCTAGTAGGTGTAATAGGTTGCCTTTCCACCCCAAATACTCTGGCTTGCCAAGTTTCCCAAGTCAGCAGGGCTGGGTTTTGCCAGGGGTTGCTTAGGGCAAGGTGTGCCTTCTGTGACCATGGAAGTGATCAAAGGATCCTAGGACAGACCACTCCCGGCAGCTCTGTGCTGCTTTAGCCACAAACATATATCAGGTTTTAAAACTGAACCTGAATTCACTTTCAAATAACAGAAGACACGTTGTTAGGCATCCTTGCTGGCTTTCTTTGCGGCATTCTTCAGTTGACCCTCTGTTAACCTGAGTTTTCCTCT